ACTTTTATATTTAACCTAAGTTGATATGTAGCCTTTCACATGTCCAAATGATCGTGAAGATAGAACGATTTGAGAACACAGTTCTGCTTTACTCCGCAGTGGCTTTAATGGATTTAACTCTAGGTTTCATTGATTTTAATCTTCTGAATAAAAATATGATTGCCAAAACAGAAAATACATTCTATACATTCATGTTAATTGTTTTTTTCTCTTGCATTGTATAATTTAATCAAGTGTCTGAGCTGGTGTGAACTAAGGTCCTTTAATCAGCGTGACTCTTAAATTGGGTGTCCCAGCACTTCAAATCTAAACTTTGGGAATCACTTTGTCACTTCTGACAAGGCATGTTAGTTATAGTGATTATTGATATTTCTGTTCCTTGCTGCTTGAAATGTAATAATGAAAAAATAAAAATATAGCAGGTGACTGTGGCTCAGGAGATAAAGCTTTAGTGGTTTTTTATTGTCTTTACTGTTTTTGAACAATTTAAGATAATCCCAGTGTCTATAAGCACTTTTAATTACTTTTCCCATTCCGTCCCAGAGACACTTTTAATCCACCTCATACATGAAATGTTTCATGTACCATATGCTTCTGAGAATTTTTTCAATTTATATGCAAATACATAGGCACCTGGCATTGAGTCATTTGAGTTCACTGGAGTGAGTGTTCATTAGTTCGATCATGAGTTGAGTTAGCTAGGGGTGGCTGTGATGATAGCATTTGCCTGCAGGGGAGAGTTAACACTCGTCTTTCAGATTTTATCTTATCAAATCTTATCAGCTGTTGGTCCTAAACACTGAGGCTTATTGTGTCCCTCTCACTTCCCGTAGGGGTGTCAGGGCCTTTTAACCTCGTTCTTTTATAACTGTATCAAAATGGTCAAAACAAACTTTGATGATCAGCTGAGACTAAATTCTTCTCTGCTGTTCTGTTTAGAACAATCTCGTAAAGGCCATTTAATGCCATACAGCCACCCAGAATGAAATTACATATCTGTATCATTTTAAATCATGATCAGGTATTGTCAGAGAATGTTCTGTGACTTTTTTGACCTTACTTTGCAGAGTCTCAGATATGGAAATAACTGTATAATCATGCACTGACAGTAAAACAGAGTATTGATCCATGTGAAATTCTAATGCTAAAAAAAGTTTTGAATATATTATTCTGAGCATTTGCCCAGAAGGGGGTTTCTAGTCCTACATGACTGAAGAAGAGCAGTCATTTTGAATCAGCCAAGATAGATCTCACAATAACAAACTCTGTTTAAGTTACAAACATGTGCAGTTTTTGTGCAAGATACCAGCAACCATTGCCTAATTGCATGTGTCATAATTGCTCAAAACCTGGGGAACAACAGTCTGACATTTAAAAAATGTAAAACATGTCTTATTTAAGCACACTTAAATAATTATACTACCTAAAAATGTTTAGGACTAGGCATGTTCTCTGCAAACATTTCTAAACTTCTAACTTTTTGAGATGCAGCTTGCGGCCTAACTGAGCAGTCAGCAGCTAAAAGCCTGATATTTTCTTTGAAGAAACTAAAGATCAAAAACATTACTACTAGAGAGTACAAGAGAATACTACTAGACTTCATCAGTAATGACAATTTTGCTTTCTAACCTTTAGGATGTGTAAATAGGCAACTGATTTCCAACAAATTGTAATTGTATGCAGGATAGAAGAAGGCAGGTGCAGACACGAATAGTGAATAAATGCAAATCAATAAATGAATAGGTTCTCAAATATGTAGGCACAGCATCCAAAGTCTAAAATATTATATGAAACATGACTGACCAGTCGCAAAAGAAAAGAACAAGGTTATGACACAAACTGACAATTTTGACAAAGAGGAGCAGGAGCACAGAAGCTGTGTCCCAGATTAGGGGCTGCATCCTCCCAAGACTGCATTTGAAGACTGAATGTGTCACAGTGGTGTAATTAGGCTGTCGCAAATCAAAAGCTCCCACAAACAGCAGAAAAATGAGTCCTTCCATTCCAGAGCAACCAAGGATCCAACAGGTGGATCCCTCTCAGGCAAACCTATCACAGCATTCATTGTGTGCTGGTGAAAAAGCTATATATTTCAAATTTTGGGGTTTGAGTTGCAGTAAATATAACCACTCCAAGCAGGCCTACTGAACGATGAAATTATATTTTTCCAGCCTTTGTGGTTGGAGTAAAACATGTCCTCTGCGCCCTGACTTGGGACACAGACTGGACTAAATACACAAGGGAGGCAAGGATAACAACACAGGTGAAACACATCAGGGTGAGGCAGACAATCACAAAAGACAGGAAGCTAGATTAAGACAGAATGTAAAAGAACCAAGTGGCCCAAAAGTAAGTGATATCAAAAACAGGAAATAATAAGAATCACACAAGTCCAAAGAGTCAAATTATGTGTCCCTAGAGAGGCACAAGACAGTTCGTATTGAACTTGATTGACAATTGAGGTGTGGAGGGAAAAAAACATAATATCTGAGCTTTGCAGTCAAAACTCACATCATACATTCCACACACAACTATTATTTGAAGTATGAGGCCACTAACTTTGACGTTTGTTTCTCTTTGCAGCCTGCTTGAAAAATGCCTTTCAAAATAGAGCAGCAATGATCTGGACCAGAGCTACAGTAAAGATGAATGAGTCTCATGACCTATTCTATCAGGAGGAGGTGCTGATGGGTAACTCTACCTGGGCATACACTTACTATCACCAAAACTACACCCTGCCACCTCCACTGCTACCAGACAAGAGGAGCACATCTAAACCTGCAGCATGCAAGCAGGTCCACATTGCTGTAGAGGTGTGTATTTTTGTGTGGTACAGAATTATTTTCGTACATTCATTTTAAGAATTATACTTTAAAATAATCTGTGCTCTTCAGCACTCCATTCTATTATGCTTCAGTCAATTAAAGGTTTTGTGATATATAACTTCATCTAGTGATGAAGTTACATGTTGCAGCTGAATACCCCTCACCTCACCCTCCCTTTCCAAACATGAAAGAGAACCTGTGGCAGCCTTAAGTTGCCTTCAAAACTCAAAAGGTGTTTTAGAGAGGACCTGCTCCCAATGTACATTTAAAGTATTTAAATATAAAGGGCCCATTCTAAGGTGAAGAAGACAACAATTCATACACTTGAGATGAAATACACTAGTGAAAAAATAACAGAGTTGATTTTATATTAAATTTCTGCCAATAGATCCCTTCCACCTAAATCTTAAACACTGGCTCTTCAACTGTTACAGTTACAGTTGCTTTTCTGCTGCAGCTTTTACCTTCATACTCTCATCGGCTGTTTTTTTTTGTTTTTGACTTGTAACCCATATA